ATGAACTAGTTAGGTCAGGTCAGGTCCCTGATCAGGGAAAAGTCGAAACGACTGGTTAGCAAGATGGGAAGAATAGGCGATATGCAAAAGGATCCGTACCTGTTCGCCTGTAGCACGGGGAACACCGTATTGCCGACTCCACAACCAACCTTACAAAGGCAACAGAAAATAATTCCAAATGAAAAATACTGTTAAATCACAATAACCACAAATCAACTTAAGTTGCTTTGATTTAATGCAGCCGAATTGGATAAAAAGTCAGAGGATTTCTTTAGATATTTAAAACACCATTGACTACATGCGTTGATTAAAACATTAATACAAAATTACAACAAGACATGCATCCTCCGCTTTCAAATTTACACCATCTTCCAATGATTAGGTATATAACTGACACTTACGATTTTATGTATAGAATAGGATAGTTTTATATTGCAACTCAAAGTTTCAAGTTGAATGTGATCATCAGACAACGCACATCGCTGCCTACTATATGTACGGTAAGAGTACTACATGACCGACCAGAAAACAACATTTTCATTGATAAACATATACACAAATGACACACTGGAACATCCAGGTTTTGGTTTCTTGCTTTGTCAAGAAGCAAAATATGAAACACTATAGAGTTTCAAATGCAACACTTTCCAACAAACAGGAGCTCATTCTGAGTATCAAAGCCAAATCAAGAAACAACTCACTATAAGTTATCCCAGTTGGTTTTTTGAAAATCATTGACGATAAGTGAGGGTACAAGATAACTAACCAAGATCAACAGCTATTACAAGGGAATTCAGCCAGTAGCGGAAACCTGGGGGGGGCGACGCCCCCATACTTTAGAGGACAATGGTATTTTGTTCTAAAACAATGGGAAATGTGACATCATCTTATCAAAACAATAGACTTGCCCTCCCCCAATATTTGGCCAAGTGTTGACCCCTGTATTCAGCATGTTCAAGAAAGACTTCAAATGCCTAACTATTAGAAGCATCAAACAAGAATTCAGAGTTTCTAAAAGGAACTGGTGACGTGAATCATATAGGAACATTGTGAAGGTGAGGTATTACTGAACTTGGCAAATTTGTCAAAAATTTTAGGCTACTGTTAGTTGACCAGTGGGCTTTATCAAATGGCCCTTTGCCACGTTCTAATCATGAAAGAAGAGTGTTTATTGTAATCCAATATCGCATTTGGTTGAAAAAAGAAAGATTATTTCTGGTTTTCACAACAAGAAATGAAGTAATTTTGCATTGAAAACAATTTTGTAGAGAAAAAATATCTGAGAAACATTATTGTCTGATGCTGGGAAAGGATGGAAATACTTTTATTTGTTCAAAACAAAACTAGCAGGTAAAATGGGAGGTATATCTAACAGTGAAGAGATCATCTAAAAGGAGTGGAAATCTAATGAGAGTAAAACTTTAACAAATGTAGACAATGTGCAAGACAATTCAACAATATTCTGAGCAAATATACCTCAAAAAATCTAGTGTGAGCATTTTGACCAGGAAAATTAAGTTCATTAGCTTCCCTTCTATTGATTTGTACCAAGCCAGGAGAGCCATGACCATTATTAGACTTTGGAGCTAATTCTTCAAACTCTGTAAAAAGCCAATGTCTGTCTTTAAAAAACCTGTTGAAATAAAACCTCTTAATTACATTATACCGATTTAAATCTGTTTTGCAGAAAGTTAATAAAAGTTAAACTTCTTTTCTTTAAAAGAACTGCAAAATAATAGTGCCAAATACAAAAACCACCTGATAAAGCAACGAAAAATGATTAGATATTTATGAAAAAATATGTTTTGAACAAACCTTTCTTGGTGCTGTAGATAAAATTTATCCCAAAATGAGTGTGCCTCTACTTCAAGTTTTTCTAGAAATATAGTTGCAAAAATAATAAAGCTGTTGAAAATAACAAACTAGAAAGTGATATTGAATCTATGCTGCCAGAGAAAGTGGCTCACTATAAGGAGAAAATTTGACATCAGCATTACAAATCAGCTTAGTTCTACTAATGAGCTTATTCTTCAAAATTTCTATGGAAACATGAGTAAACATGCCACAGCTGCATGCAGGCTGCCTGGCATAAGCAGATATTGGATTTTTCCTAATCAATTCACATAGCTACAATGCCTGCCAAAAGTACTTGGAACACCCACCAATTTACGCTGCATTTGATATCTTTCATTCCTTTCATGAAAAAAATTTGCTACTTCCGCCCCCTTCCCCCTCAAACAATGTTGATGATTTAGAGAAATATCATAAAAGAAGCGCAAAAGAAAGTGCCTTCTAAAATCCTAGTCCGTTTGATAGTAAACCAACATTGTTCCGTGGGGGAGAGGGGGATGATTGGTTTTGACCTTGGAAATTGATGTCAGTGTTCCAAGACTTTTGGCAGGCATTGTCTGAAAATTTTCTCGAAAACAGCAATCTGCGATATCAAAACATTGTGCTACCCTAGGGTTTTCGATGGTGCTGATCTCAAAGCTACTAATGAAAATTCGAAATTTTCACTCTTTACCCAGTTAAAAGGGGGGGAGGGGGTTTGGACTCTGAACGATTGATATAGTAGATATCCGAGTATTGTTATTTGTTACAAAAAACATTCTACTGATTTTTTCCGTCAATATCATTTAAATCATTATTGAATACAAGTATTTTGTGCAGAATTCGATCATCGGTTTAAGAAAACTATCAATTTTCAAAGGAAAAACAGTATAGTTTAGTGCTTTTGAAAAAGTGTTTTTTTGCTTAAAAGTCCCCTTATTTATGGTTTAATTGTTGATGAAAAAACAAAAAAATTCATGAGAATGTCTACAAACTATGCATGATATAAATAATTGCGAACAACATGCTGGTGAGAAACTGTTCAAATGGCTCAATTTTATCCACCATAACCCTCCCAAAACCATCTACGAATTTAATAAATTTGCTTAGGCTATGCTCCTTCGCATTCACATGTGGCAACATGGTAGCGCTCATAGACACCCCATTCCCTATTATTTTCTATCTTCCCTTGTCCCAGTAATTGGAAAATGGTTTGTGCCAATTATAATTGTTCGTTTTCCATTGTTAAAGTATGCTAGGAATTGAAAGAACGCTCCTTTCCTAATGGGCACGTGATGTAGTATGAAAATGCCTATTGCCAATGGTTAACAACGGTCTACAGCCACGGTCTACACATTTAAAATGTTCATTAAAATCGTATTTTTCAAAGAAAGTAGACGAAACCTCGTCAGTAGGTGTGCATGGCTGGTATAAAAAATATTGTAGGTTTTCAGATCGATACAAGTTGTAAAACTGAAGAAATTCAGGAAAGTGTCAACGGTCTACACTTTCTGAGAATTGAATTTGAAGTACTCTAGATCTTATTCTCCTTTTGAGTGTAGACCGTGGGATTTTCGTCATATTTTGCCGTTTTCTTCATGGAATTCATACAAAGGTTAATTTTGTCTTTGAGGGGTATTATTATACACCTTTTGGGTGAATTTGGGGGCAAACATCCCCCTGACAAGTCAGAAAATTGCGAAGAAACAGCCACGGTCTACACAACGGTCTACAAGCGTTCATTTCCGAGGGTGAGAGTTGCCTTGCGGGGCCTTGTCCTTCACATCGACGCGCGCTACATTCGATGAAATAATATATTTTGTTGTGGCAAATGTCACGCAAACAAATACAGCAATCAATTAACGATGAAATAATCTGCCTTGCGCTTTATGAAGATAAAAGTAGCAGGTAGAGTCTAACTTAAAGGCCATTTTGGCAATGCAGTAACAGTAGGGAAGAGGGCTTTCTTTGTAGTGCTTCTGGGCCAAGCATTTAGGAGCGCAGGAAGGCGAGTGGATGTCAGTTTTATTTCAGTTCCCTTACCAACCAACATGGAATAGTAGATCAATCAGTTGGGAACTCTGATGTGGGAAACACGGGGTTCCTTTCTACAATTTAGGTAAACACTCTGAAATTTGTCATTTGGGCACTGAATTGCACAACAAGGGCCTATATGAATGACAACTTGTAAATCCGTGATAAAAGGAGAGCCACTACCCGACATAATTCTCAAATACGACCTTATCTATAATTAGAAACATGAAACAGAGGAATCGATGTCACTTTTATAAAATTGCATCCTTTCCATTTTTAGATTATTTTCTAGCTGCCACTCATATTTGTCTCCTTCATCTATCCCATTATTTCTTAGACAGCCATCTGTCTACGAGCCTTTGAAAAGATTCAAAATACAATCTTGATCTTATTTATTGGAAATCGATTTTGATTTTAGCAATTTTCACCTTAATTGAAATATGGCATTTAGTTTTATGGGGGTAGCTTACTCCCACCCCCGAAAAGAGACAATACCCCATATCTCCTTATCGGTAACACGTACGATGTTGAAAATGGCAGAAATGGAATCAGCACCATCAAAAACCTATAGGAGGATATTGGTTTTGGTGGAATATCTAATAAGCTTCAAAATGAAATTCAGACAATGCCTGCCAAAAGTACTTGGAACACCCACCAATTTACGCTGCATTTGATATCTTTCATTCCTTTCATGAAAAAAATTTGCTACTTCCGCCCCCTTCCCCCTCAAACAATGTTGATGATTTAGAGAAATATCATAAAAGAAGCGCAAAAGAAAGTGCCTTCTAAAATCCTAGTCCGTTTGATAGTAAACCAACATTGTTCCGTGGGGGAGAGGGGGATGATTGGTTTTGACCTTGGAAATTGAT